TACTTCCGTAGTGATACTGCCTCGGAAACCCAAGGAGGGGTCGCTATGAGTCGGGGCCGACTCGATGGCACATAACAACAACAACAACAATGCAGTACTAAAGAATAATGTAGAGTCTGCAAAACACCGCATAATATCGATGAACTTGGAGGGCATTATGCTGAGTGACATGAGTCAATCACAGAAGGACAAATATAGCATTAGTCCATTGTGGACAGTCAAGGAAAGGTTTATATGTGGAGGGAAACTTTCTTTGTTGGTTGCCAGGGGTGGGAGGGGAAGGGAAGGGAACACTGCAAAAAAACAAAAAAATGCATTGACTAGTGTCACTGTAGTTTTGTGTAGTTCACTGTACATAAATTATAGTTCAATAAAATGCATTTAAAAATGGAGGGAAAAAAAGAACAAATATAAATAAATAACTTTTAAAAAGTTCTGTCATCCGAAAATACTCATCGTGCCCCTTTGTGGCCAGCTTTTTCCCTTAGCCTCTGGAAATCACTGATCTATTTTCTGATCCTATAATTTTAGGTATGGGATTTCTACAATGTATATAAATGAGATCATGCAGAGTGTGTCATCTTTAACTTAGCTTAATGCATTTCAGATTTATTCATATTGACAGATCATGATTGATTCTTCTTTATTGCTGAGTAGTATTCCATTGTATGGATATACCACAGTTTATCTGTTCACCAGGTGAAGGACATTTGGGTTCCTAGGTTTTGGTGGTTATGAATAAAGCTACTATAAACATTTACATACAGGGATTAGAGTTTTCATTTTTGGAGGGTATATTTCCAGGAATGAGATTGCTGTGGTTGAATGGTAAGTATGTGTTTAAAAGAATCTGCCAAACTTTTCCAAAGTGGCTACTATTTGGCATTCCTGTGAGCCCTCTGTGAGGATTCTGTCTGATCTGCATTTAGCCTGCACTTGGAGCGCTTAGGTTTTTTAAGCCATTCCAAAAGGTGTGTAGTGGTATCTCATTATGGTTTTAATTTGCAGTTCTCTAATAATTAATGAAGGTGAGCATTTTTTCATGTGCTTATTTGCCATCCGTAAATCTTTATCAAAGTGTCTGTTCAAATCTTTTGCCCATTTTCAATCAGGTTGGTTGTTTTCTTATTGAGAGTTTCTTTTTTGTTGTTTGTTTTTTAAGTGTGTGTGTGTGTGTGTGTATAAAAGAAAACATTTCCCACCTTGACTATATTAAATGTACAGTTCAGTGATGTTAATTATGGTCATCATGGCATGCAGCCGTCATCACTGTCTGTCTCCAGGTTTTGTCATCACCACCCGTAACAAACACTCGGTGCCCCTGGACTGTGACTCTCCCTTTTCCCTCTCCCTCCCACCCCTGGTACCCACTCATAAGCTTTGGTCTCTACATTTGCCTGTCCCAGGTATTTCATATAATTGGGATCATACAGTAGTTACCCTTTTGTGACTTGATTTATCTCACTCAGCATAATGTTTTCAGACGTCATGCCGTGGCACATGTCAGAACTTCATTTCTCCTTAAGGCTGAGAAAGTCCATGTGTGTATACATTTTGTTTATCCATTCATCTGCCGCTGGAGACTGGAGTTGTTTTCACCTTTGGGATCCTGTGAATGTGCTGCAGTGAACGTTGGCGGACAGCTGTCTGTTAGCGTTCCTACTTTCAGTTCTCTTGGTAGGTATCTGATTCTTTCTTCTGCCTACCCAAATCTGCCACTGGAATCCTCTGGTTAAGTTTTCATTTCAGTTATTGTACTTCTCAGCTCTAGAATTTGTGTTTGGTTCATATATCTCTTTTCCATCCTTTCACTTTCAATTTGTTAGATCACTAAGTTTCAGACGTGGATCTTTGGTACAGTATTACAGATGC